ACCAACATTATTAGAGTTAGAAAGTTTGCTCGCTACACACGAAACCCTAGCCAAACAAATGGCATGTGTTTCAATAAAAAGTGAAGATGAAGCACTCTTTAGCGGGAAAGAGAGAGGCAAGCCAAGAGGTGCAAGGAAATGGGGGTGATTAATCGAATATCAAACCGTTCAGTATCTTACAAGCTCAAAACTCTTGAGAATACATTTCCACGTACGGACCACATTAATTGTCAAAACAAGCAGACACAAAAGAAAAAGAATGTTTCAACTTGTAATTACTAATCATCGAGTGTGTGAATAATTGTTCGCAGTTTGACATTAATTATTAATCATATATCAAGTGAATAATTGTTTGTGGTTTGATCTTTGATCGTATATAAGAGCGAGGGGGTAAATTTGGCATTTAATAAATTTTCTAATTTACCTAAGCGTACTGTGAACTATTTAAATTTTAGTCGGTGAAAGATTTACCACGTTGTGTATAATTATTAATCATATAGCAGGTGAATAATTGTATACAGTTTGAACGTTGATCACATATAAGAGCGAGGGGGTAATTTGGCATTTAATAAATAATCTAATTTAGCTAAGCTGCTCTTTCATTCAGATTTACATTTCGATTTAAACTATATCCTTGTCTTTATACTATGTATATCCAATAAGAATAATTCATCAATTTATCAACTTACTCTTACTTAATAAATTAGTATTTGAATTCTAAGGGTATTTTTGTCTATAGAAAGATTTTCTCGAACTCGTGCTTTTAAAGAGAGTATAAGTATATATATAATATAATATAATATAATATAATATAATATAATATAATATGATTATATATATCAACTTTTAATTATTCAAACTTATCAAAAAGGAGGAATCGTTATCTTGAACGAGCAAGAGAAGACTAATGCTAAATAGAGAGAAAATAGGCTAAATTTTGACCAATAATAAGATAAACCGTAGAAATACTTGAAGGGGGTGTTAGTCAATTGGGACATTTTCATGCAAAAGGGGATAATTGTTAAAGTGGAATAATTTTTTGCTAATGGGATATTTTTGTGGGATAAATAAGAACAATTTTGTGAAGCAGAATATTTTAATAAAATAACGTGGGATAAATTTTTATAATCATGAAATATATATTTATGCATTTTGAAGATATAAATACTATTTATATATTTTAAACTTACTATTATTGATTGATAATTGCTTACAAGAATGTACTTTACTATTAAATAACTTTTGGTTAGACTATAAGATATTGACAATTATTATTATAATGATGATCTAATGATGGTGATACCCATAATAGGAAAGAAGTAAAGAAAAAAAAATATAAAAATAAAAAAGAACAAAATAAATATGAGTTCTAGTTTTTTACCACCTAGTTTCAAGCTAAAACTTAGAATAATTTGAGAGACTAGAACTCTCATTTTTGTATAGAAAAATAAAAAAAGTAGGATAATTTTGTACCATTATCCCAATTCTCGTTATGTTAGAGTTCTACTTGACTAACACTATAAAATTTTGTTCTAGTTTTAGTTCTATGTGACTAACACCTTAAAAATTTATCACACAGATTATCCCAGTTCTAAATTTAAGTTCTAGATTACTAACCCCCCGAAATGAAGATAAACCATACAAGTTTACAGTTGATCATCTAGTCTAGCCATTTAATACCCAAAGCTTTCACCCTTTTGTTTTAACTTTTTAACACCCTGAATTTTTATTTCAGACAGTTCGATACCTCAAAGGCAAAATATTTGACGTTAATTTTGTTCAAAATTATCAACGTAGATAGGTGATGGGAGAAAATAAATTCTTGCCAAATTTCAAAATTTGAGTTTTGGCAAAGTGAGGAAGAAAGTTTCGGAGTTGGGAAATCAAATTGTCAAAATAGAGCTTCAGGGTATCAAAGTTAAAAAAATAAACTTTAGGGCACCAAAGAGCAAAAAAGTGTGAACAATGTGCTTTAAGTTTAAACTGTATAATCAAAGAAGCTCAAGCTGAAGGATACCTCGGATTACAGCCGTATTCTCATCACAACTCGTCACCTAAAAGCATGTCAAATTAACACCAGAAGGCAACAAAATAAAAAATAAATAACAAATTACTTAATTAATTAAAAAAATATAAAAATTAAAAGTAATATATTATCAAGTTTGAAACTTTAGATTTTCAGAATTTGACTTGTCAAGCTCACAATCACAATTCTTCCATTTAAATTGCATTTCAAGAAGAAATTTAAGGACTTCCGAGAGAAGAGATATCAGGTTTTGAAGAATCTAGATAACTGTCAAATTTCTATTTCATGGGCCTATCAGAGATGGGCTAATCCTGTTTGTTCTTTTGGCTCGCTTGACTTACTGTAATTTTTTTCTTTTTTTTTATTCAAATAGTAATGATGAATTTATTATAAATTTATCTTTTTCATATTAAGGCCTGTTTGGTTGGTTTCTCAAAAATGCTGGAAATAGAAATTAGTGCTGGAAACCCATTTTTCATGCCTTTCCATTCATTTTTAAGAACCAGTTTTTTTAGTTTGTTTCGCATGGAAACAGAGGGTTAGAAATACACGCATCAATTTATCATGTTTGGTTGGAAAAAAGAAGAATAAATCAATGAGTTGAAACAACAAGAGACTAGTTTATTGTGTTTGTTTGGGCTTGAAACATACCAGAAACAAGTTCTACTCACCCCTGTAAGATGACCGGCTATATAAGACAAAAAAACCACCGCTGCCGTGGTGAAAGTACCGATCAAAGAAGCTTGTTTTTTGAAACACCCCAACAGTCACTTGCCAACAGTCAAAAAATAACGGTTAGAACTGACCCCACAACAGCTAGAACTAAACAATAACTCAACTAGAACTAACATAGGCAAAAGAACCAACATTTGCACTAGAACTTGCATTAGCTGGAGGTAGAACTAACATGAGAATATCTAAAACTAACACGGGAGCAAGCTAGAACTAACAACCACTCAGCTAGAACTAACATAAGCAATATAACCAACACTTATACTAGATCTAACGCTAGCTGGAGGTAGAACTAACATGGGTGCAACTAGAATTAACACGATAGCAAGTAGAACTGACAATAACTATGATAGAACTAATATAGCCACTATAACCAACACTTATACTAGATGTAACGCTAGCTGGAGGTAGAACTAATGTGAATGCACCTAAAACTAACACTATAGCAACTAGAACTAACAATAACCCAGCTAGAACTGACATGGCCACTAAAACCAACACTTGCACTATAACTAATGCTAGCTGGAGCTAGAACTAACACGAGAATAGCTAGAACTAACACGTGAGCTGCTAGAATTAGAATAACTCAGCTAGAACTAACATAGCCACTAAAACCAACACTTACACTAGAACGAAACAAACACGGGAAAAAAAAAACGCTTCAACTCCTTATTCGACATGATGACCTCTTGTTTCCCAAAAACCCGATTTCTCAGGCTGTTTTGGGCCAACCAAACAGGCCCTTAACACAGTTAAATACTTTAGATGGGTAAATTTTCAAAACAGTCCTCTTTGAACTTTTAATCCCCCAAAAAGACCTATTTCCAACTTATTTTCAGAAGCCGACCTGGTTTCAGCCTCAGCGCTGAAACCAGTTCGGTTTCTAAAAAAAAAATTTACGAAACTTCACGGGAGTTGAACTTCCGTGAAGTTTAGTAAAACTTACTAAACTTCACGGGAGTTCAACTCCAGTGAAGTTTCGGAATTTTTTTTCCAGAAACCGACAAAGTTTTAGCGCACGGTTTCTGAAAATAAGTTAGAAATGAATATTTTTTTGCGATTATTAGGGGCTGTTTGTTTGCCTAAAAAAAAGGGAAATCAAAGAAAATAAAACCTATTTCTAAAAAAAATAGGTTTTGGGATTGTTTGGTTGGCTAAAAAAGAAGGAAATCAAAGAAATGGAGATGAGATGAGATGAGTTGTCACCTTATTATAGGATGATGTGAGTGATTTTTTAAGAAAACTTGTTTTGATGTTGTTTGGTTGGCGGAAAAAAAATAAGAAAATGAATTATAAGAAACATATTTCTTGTATTAGGTTGTTTTCTTTTGTTTGGTTATTTCTTAAAAATAGGAAAATAGATGAGATGTGATGAGTTGTCATTATATTATTGGATGATGTGACCCACACTTAAAAAAATTATTTTCCTAGCTTTTTGGGAGGAAAACAAAGAAATAAAATGTTAATGAGATGAGATGAGTTGTCACAATCTTATTGGATGATGTGAGTGATTTTTAAATATGAGATGAGATGAGTTGAGTGATGTTGTGGATGAAAATAATATTTTATTAGATGTGGTGGATGTGATTGATGAGTTGTTGGATGAAAATAATATTTTTATTAGATGTGGTGGATGAGTTGTTGGATAAAAATAATATTTTATTAGATGTTATGGGTGAGTTTTAGGGATGGAAATGTGTGAAATTGTACTCTTTGAGAGTTCTTGGTTTTCATTTTTTTTTGGACAAATTTTCAAAACCATCCCATTTTGAAATTTATTTATAAAAAACGACCATTTTTAGCCTTAATTGCAAAAACTGACCCAGTTTGTTGAAACTGGGTCGGTTTTTGAAAAAAAATTCCAAACTTCACGGGAGTTCAACTCCCGTGAAGTTTTTTCTCATAACAAAACTTTGAAAAAAAATTCCAAACTTCACGGGAGTTCAACTCCCGTGAAGTTTTTTCTCATAACAAAACTTCACAGGAGTTGACACGGGAGTTCAACTCCCGTGAAGTTTGAAATTTTTTTTTTCAAAAACCGACCCAGTTTCAACCAACTGGGTCGGTTTTTGCAATTAAGACTAAAAGGGGTCGTTTTTTATAAATAAATTTCAAAATGGGATGGTTTTGAAAATTTGTCCTTCTTTTTTTTGATTTTTTAGGAAATAACCAAACAGACCCTTATTGTAAACGGGATTGTTTTGAAAATTTGTCCATAGATACACATGAATATGATTGCGACCCAAGGAAAGAAGACCCAGACAGCAAGGCGCTTGGAGCTGCAGTAGACGGGGGTGGGGAGAGAGAGAAGCTCAGAAAATGGCAAGAACCAGCACCAAGGACACCTCAGTGTTCTTTTGGGCAACTCTGCTTCTATGGGCAATCTCAATCCTGTTCGAGTTCTTCTTCAACGAGAGAAGGGAACTTCTTGCTGTAATCTTGGGCTTCACTTTCTACCAAGCATCCAACTTCTTCATCCGCTGCTCTCTCTCTAGAGACCCTCTCTTCATCAACACCTCCGTCTCCTTGCTCCACTCCTTTGTCACCTCCGCTTCAGGTAGTTTTTTTTTTGAAGTAAATACTTTAATTGGGACATGGGTTTGTGGGTACTTTGTGAAATTCGATGTTTGTGTCGATAATGGCGAGTTTTGGTGGGAGAAAAATGAGACTTTGGCCCCTTTGGGTATGTGGGTATTTTGTAAAATTTGATATTGTTGTCTGCAAGAGGGGCATGTTGAGATTTGAGATTGTTCTCGGTGTTATTGGAAATAATTTGGGTTTTTTTTTGGGTTTGTGGGTAAATAGCGTTTCAATGTAGTAGCTGAAGTTTGCTTTGTGCCTGGAACCTTGAAAATTGCTTCTTTTTTTAGGTAATTTTGTGTTTGGTTGTGTAGATTGGGGTTTGTTGGGTTCGTTTGAAGCTAATTGGAATCTGGTTATAATGGTGGATTTCAGTTGATTTTTGGTCCTTTTGAGTATGTAGCTAGCTGGGTTAGTCTTGCATGATGTCGTTTTGTGCGATGGGGGCGTATGGAGATTTGAGACTGTTGTTAGGCTTGTCAAATAATTGTGGGGTTTGAGTCTGTGGCTAGATAGTATATCATTGGGTTTAAGTGCTTGGCGTGGTGTAGTAGCTGGTCGTTTGATGCTTAGACTCATTTTGGTGTTATGATGTATGGTGAAAAACAATTGAGGCTTTGTTCTAGCTATTGTGTGTGTGTTAATTCAATTTGATTTTCGGACTTTGTTGAGATAGGCTTGATCCAGTCATTTGGATGGGATTTCAGATGAATGAATGGTTAGGACGAGCGGTTGACATATAGTTGAGGCAGTGAAAAGGATATGACGTTTGCGACTATTTAACTGAGCAGCTTCCTCTTACCGAAGTTGAACAGAAACAGATTCTGGTAGGGGACCCCGTGGATGTGGGAATAAACTATGTATCTTTTCCTTCAAGTAAGAAATCGCTGGCTTATCGTTGATGGACCAAATAATAGAAATAAAGTTTTATGGAAATAGAGAAGCTCTAGGTCGAGAGATGAAGCAAAACCTGAATAATCTCAAAACAGCCGGTTACTCATGGTGCGTGAAATACCTCACTTTATTTCATAGTGCTTGATTTTGTAAAGACCCTCTATATTGCTAGCTTTTTAACAATATATCAATCAAGTTATTTCGATGGCTATATTTTATATGACTATTTCCACCACAACGTTTCTTTTAAAAGTATTCACATCTTTACATTGGCCAAGCATCATAGCTATTATTGTGTTTATTACATAGCCATAGCCGGATATATATATATCCAGAATGAACACATTGATTAAAAAAGAAATTATGCAGAAATAAAGTACTGGGAGTCTACAGCATTATAATGTTTTTTCCCGTTTTTTTGTGTGTGTGTGTGTGGGGGGGGGAGCCTAGCAAGAAGGGAAATTTAGCACTTTATGTTGTCAGGGAGCCTAGCAGGCATTCTTTCAGGATATTTTCACAGTAGGTTTTCAATGCCACATGAATGAAGGGTATGCATAGTGAGTACAGGTGATCTAAATCATGGAGTATATGGTATACTTCTTGACTGACTAATTATACATTTTATGCATGTTCATTTTGAATCATTGCTGGTGACAGGTAATTTTCTGTTGTTATATTCAGGAGGGAAATTGTACTTGATATGTTGACTAGACATTTGACTGAAAATAGCTTTAAAGAGTTTGATACCAAAAAAACTCGTAGTTACAATATCCTTGGTTAGCACTTGTTAGGTCATGTTCCATGTAATTAGCTTGGTATGTTTATCTGAAATATTATTGCTTTCTAATTGTGCTTCCGGTTATTTCATTTGGTTTCTTGCTCATTCAGCCAAAAAGATTATGAATCACTAGAAGTAACATTTGTACATAAGGCCTCTGAGTTTGACATAATTTATCCTGTACTATTGTTCTTCTGGTGGAAACATGTGGAGACGTGTAGCCAAAGAGAAGCTTTCAGATCAAGTCCAGTGCAGCGATTGATAGCTTTCTTCAAAGTTATGAGATGTGATAAAGTTGGTTCTGTGTATAAGAAAATTGTTCTCTAGATAAGAAACCGCTGAAAACAAAGTTTTAAACTGCCACCCCTAAATCAAATTAAACGAAACCTTGTGTGCAGGGCAGTGCAAATTTTTGTGGCATTTAAACTTAAGCAGAAACCTTTGATATGTAATTGTTTTTATTCTAACAAAATTCTGTGTTTGGATACTATGTAGTTGTCTTCATTCTGATTAATCAATTGACGATTAAAGGTCTCAGCGACATGTTTGACCACACTCAGTTAGTTGGTAATACATGGCTTGGTGCATATTCAGCGCTGTGCTTTTCATGTGGTTACTTTGCATATGACCAGCTGGACATGCTCAAACATCGACTATATAGTGGTTTTGTTCCTTCCATCCTTGCTCACCATCTTATACTGCTTGTTTGCTTTACACTGGCTCTCTACCGAAATGTCACAATCAACTATTTGGTTTTGACGCTTGTGTGCGAGGTACTCTGTCTTCAACCACCTAAATTTCACTATTTAGTGCTTATTTCATTTTTTAATATTTCTATTGTATTTATGATGAACATGTGCAACCATTATAATCCCTTTGAAATATTTTACGTCTTTAAAGAAGCGCATGATATGTATAAAGGAAGCCTGAAAGGTTAAGATGTATGGTCTTGCTACATCTAGTTATATGGTACTTGCCTATTATTGACGGGCGATTAATTGTTTTGGTTATATTACATGTTTGATGTTAGCAAGATATTTCTAGAGTATCACAATCTTATTCCCTTCTGAATACGGATAAATAGCAGGCTAGAAGTTTATAGGCAGATTAGAATAGATAAAGTAGGGCAGATAAACAAATGCAGAGTTTTTCT